GCAAGAAGTCTGACTCAAGAGTCCACTATATTGTACTGCCTTCATGCACATCTAAGTGACAAAAAACTATGCAGCCACTTAAAAACAAGTCAAAGAGGGCAGGTGAGGGAGGTGGCTCACGCCTGTAATCCCAACATTTGAGAGGGCAAGGAGGGTGGATCATCTGAGGTCAGGAGTTCAAGATCAGCCTGGCCAACATGGTGAAACCCTGTCTCTACTAAAAATACAAAATTAGCCAGGCATGGTGGTGTGCGCCTCTAATCCCAGCAACTCAGGAGGCTGAGGCAAGAGAATCGCTTGAACGCAGGAGGCCGGAGGTTGCAGTCAGCTAAGATTGCATCATTGTACTTCAGCCTGGGCAACAGAATGAGATTATCCCAAAAAATAAATAAATAAATAAAGTCAAAGAACAGCTAATAACATGAGTAAATGTTCAGACTAAGTGAAAAAAGCAAGATACAAAACTCAAACAGTAGCACAAAAGTCACGTAACATGATCCTAACTCTATTTTTTTAAGTGCATATACATATATACATTTTAAAAGACTGGAAGGAATAAATTACAAAATACTAATAGTAGATATCTCTGAGTGATGAGATTGCAGATGACTTAATTTTCTTCATGATATTTTCCAGTATTTATCAACTTGTATTTCTATTGTAAGGATGGGAAAAGTACATTCTAATTTTACCAAAAGAAAGTAGAATATAGTCCTTAAACCTTTTAATACTTCTTTCTTTGAAATATAATGATGGCTTTTTATTGTTTCAACAAAAATAAACATTTTACATTCATTTATATATACTTTTTTGCCCATCAACCCCCACCCCCCCACCTCCCAAAAAAAATCAAAGAATAGAATTTGGTATTTTTTTGTGCTCAAAACAATAATAAAGGACAATATCAAGGTTGTTGCAAAAGGACATAACTTTTCTGTTCAAATGAATAAAAATAATCTACCATAACATAAGGAACTGAGGTATAAACTCTAAGGTCCCTTACAGTCCTCTTACTCTATATTAATAGTAACAACTTATAGCTCAAAATGCTACATAGTAGCATATACAATCTTTTTAAAACACCAAGACTAACTCCAATAAAAATCGCTGAAAGTACTGTAGATCACCCGAGTCTCTGCTTTTTAAAGTAGAAAATTTAAAAGCTTCCAAATTATGTTTCTGCTATAAATTGCTCAATAATAAAGGCAATGTTGCCAAGTTTCCTTCAATAATTCTCCAGCCAACTACATTTTCAAGTTCACAAGCTCTAGAATAAAGCAGATTACCTCAAAGAATACCTCCTTTGTCAATCTGTACACAGTTATAAAACAAACAAAAAACCTAAGGAAAATCAATTCAAACATCGCTTTTTAAAAATCAGATACATTAAGAAAATCTTAATCAGAGAAATACTACTCATGATGTAACGTGCTTTATAATTACATCTTGATAAATATAAAACCCTCATCCTCATCTCTTGTCAACTTTGTAACGGTAATTTTTAAATTTTTCACATAAAATAAAAATAATAATAATTTCATATATAGTTTCAAAGCATTTCCTCACCCCTGACCACTAATTTCATCCACAGGACAAAACCACAGTCAATGTTTCCTGTTCTATCTGATCTCACTAGAACATTTTGAGATGCTGTGTTACATATTAAAAGTGTACGTAACTACCAACTAAAATGGCATGTTTCATCACTGCATCAACTTATTAGTCTTAATTTATGAGAGGAAGCTAAGATTAGTAACAGAGAATTCCCAAATTCTATAGAAAAGATCAGCAGATATAAAATGGAACTTTAAGGCTACCTAAGTTCAGAGACTCTGGTGTGACTTAATCCGGGCATTACTAACTCACAGCTTTTTTTATTTAGAATTTTTTTCATTTAATTCAGAAAACAGCAAAAAAAACAACAAAAAATAGCAATTCCAACAAAAGACCTATCAGAAGAAAATAAACCCTTAATATGTGGTCTTTAAAATAAAGAACAACATATTAAACTGAAGAATTTGAGAAATTCTGATAGAAATATCCTTTTCCAAGATGTTAACTTCCAAAACTCATCTACCACTTAAGCCATTTGAACTCAATTATTTTTTAACTAGGTTCACATGGAAATGAAAGCTATAAATAAGAAAGGAAAACACATAAGTTTTTCCTTTTTCCTTTTTTTTTTTTTTTTTTTTTTTGATACAGGGTCTCACTCTGTCACCCAGGCTGGACTGCAGTGGTGCGACCTTGGTTCACTGCAAACTCTGCCTCCCAGGTTCAAACAATTCTCGTGATTTAGCTTCCTGAGTAACTGGGATTACAGGTTGCGCCACCACACCTGACTATTTTTTCTATTTTTAGAAGACATGGGGTTTCACCATGTTGGCCAGGCTGCTCTCAAACTCCTGACCTCAAGTGATCCGCCCATCTCAGCCTCCCAAACTGCTGGGATTACAGGTGTGAGTTTTTCCTTTTAAATTATTCCACTTATATTCAAATTCTAAAATTAACCATCACTAACAATTTTGCTTACTAAATACAGATGATACAAGCACCTTCTCCTCTGCTGAATAAGCTACTATTAAAATCCTAGTAATGCTATCTTAAGTGAATTTTTCCACGATGTCTAATGTAACCTTTTTCCATGATGTCTGGTAACCTTAAAATGAAACAGAGAAATAAGGACTCTCAGGGTTTAGTATAGGAAATGGACATGGTTATCTACTGTGACACTATAAAATAAAGATGTAGAAAACACAGTTTAGGAAAACTATGTAGGCTTGGAATTAAACAATGTCTGATTCAGAGTTTTCTTTAATCCAAAACAGCATATGGACATGTACATACACAAACATATGCACTCCAACATATATGAGGAGTATGCATATAGGTATGTTTTATATAAATTAATTATGCATATGCATGTATCTTCACATGTTAAAACTGGTTAAAATTTTTAATAGAAGAAGCTAAATTTGGAAAGAAGCAATCCTTTCTAAATATCCTACTTTTAGGGAATATCATAGCTAACTTTAACGTATTTGAGTATAAATTACCCAAATTCATTCACATATTTTCATTCACATAATTCACTGCTAATTAAAATCATGTAGAAAATTAAACCACACAACAAAAATATTCTAGCTTCTCTAATAACTGCTTTAAGTTCAGTTGTAGTTCATTTTCAGAATCTTTTTTGGCCAACTTTATAGGCTTTAAAACAGATATACACTCCATTAATTGTTTTGTGCTCATTATTACTAAGCATTCAATTTGGTAGCATTCAAATAGGACAGGGCAAGACCTAGCTTAAGGTGGCAGTTAACACAAAAGATAAAATCCAAATTTCAAGAGAATATCTTGAATATCCCCCAGCAGATGCTAAAGTAAGAGGGTTTTTAATCTTCAGAACTGGCAAGGCAGTTCATAGATAAATATTTTCAATAACTGGCATGTAATTTAGAATGAGACTTTATCATTAAAACTTGCTTAACAAGTTTTTTGTGCAAACTAAGAATTCTTATGGAAGAAAATCATCTAATATTTCCTTTTATGCTTGAGCTGATAAAAGTCTAAAACTCTGAAAGAGATTAAAAGGAAGCCTTTTATTTTAGCTGATATGCTACTATAAAGCCAATGAGGAATGAGATGGTGACTGTAATTTTATATTCACAGATTCACAAATCCTTTGGGTTAAGCAAAGAGATATAGCAATATAAAATTATTACATAACTGAATATATTTGCAACCAAAGAACTATCACTTACAACTAAAACAAGTAGCTAAATTGGTGTCTGCCTCATTCTCCCTCGAGCAGCCTCCTTATAAATTTTCTTGCCTCTCCAAATTACAAACTCAAAAGCAAAAGCATACCAAATTTAAAATGTTCTATTGTTTTCTCATTTTATTTAGAACTCACCATACATTCTAATGTTATAAATATCTTAGATTACTATTTTCAAGTGTCTGTGAGATCCACTGAAGATGGCACCTTTCATCAATATGCATACATACTTACTAATATCTCTCTACAACTGAACATTTTTACAAAAGAGGAAAAGAGTCGAACTGGTAGCATATAAAGTTTTATTAAATCCTAATTTTGGCAACTTATACCTCATATCCTTCCAGTCAAAGCAGTAACTGGATTATCATCTTCGTAGGTAAAAAGCAATTGTAACAAATAAACAAAAATCACAATGAGTAAACACTTTCAAGTGAATATTTTTGAATAACTAAATTTTCTTCATAATATTTACTTAAACCATTACTAACCTGCATTCTGAGAACAAGAAAGCCAGACTGTACAGAGACATAGAAACCAAAGTAACATGAAGTATCATCCTTAAATAATGCATAAGGCAGATATTTGAGTGGATATGTATCACTGATGTTTAATGATACCGCATCTCTGAGAATTAGTTATTCAATAATTTATATGTATGTTTATAGCTGTATTAACAAGACCAGAAATAAACTTTTTAACATTATTATGTGACATTAGTATGGATCATGATGTCCTCAAAGTACTGCATTTTGAATTATGGTAAATCCTACCACAGATGATGAACATATTGTGAAATATAGAATACCTTAAAGAAAGACTCTATAGTGACAATTAGAAAATATTTTTCCCTTTCCTATAGCACATTCAAAATATTCAAAGAAATTAAAGTTTAGTAAGAATCTTTTTTTAAGTCAACATTTTCTCCTACATGGTATAAATGCCTGGGGAAAACAGAATTGAGTAGGAACATATAGTAACACTTTATCTATTAAAAATGGACATGCCCAAAAGGAAATATAGAATAAGAGTAGAAAGAAACAGAAAAGGAAAAAGCAAAAGTCACATTTTCCTATCACATTGGGCAAATCCTATACAAAAAAATGCTGCTAGGCATAGTTCCAAACTGAAGCTATCTCAAAAAAGAACTGCTTGTTGCCCGTTATCTGCTGCATTATAGATTTTGTATCATCAAGATTACATAAGGCCTGCATACCAAGTTCATCCTGCAAACTGCTACCGCCTACAGCAGATGCATTGTCATGTGATGCTTCTAAGTGGACACTCCCATTTCTCACCAGCAAGGAGGCACTAGCACTGAGCACTGCAGCCTGGGAAGGGGGGCGGGACTGGACTTTGACCTGGGTTGTGGACTGCTGGCCTTGCTGACCATCTTGAAGGCTAGGAAAAAACATGGATTGGAGAGCCATTACAGGGGAGAAAAGAGAAAACAATACCTGGAATGAAGTCAATATAGAAAACTGATTTCAAAAAGGCACTTTTTTCAATATGACCTAAGAAAGAGCCAACAAACTTCGTAAAATATACAGATTACACTGACAACTTAAATCTTCTGGCCCTTGCAAATTTGATTTGAAATTACAAATGCAGTCAACATTAAACGTACATGTTAATTGGTCTTTTACCACATCAAGCCAACTAAATTCTAGTGTAAGGAAAAGAAAGCAGCAAAAAAAGAATCATAAGTACATTCAATATATGTGTGCTGCAGGTGGTCCCCGATGGATAAGCCCTACGTTTCAGTTAAATATGCATTTTCATTTATAGCCTTGTAATGACCCTGGAATTGTGCTTTCATATATTCTGAGATCTCAAATTCACAATAAAACAAGTTTACATGCACTTGAGAACCAAAGAATCTTTATCAAATGCAACCAAAATAACAATCTTGAATAAAAATAAAATCACAAGCTAGTGCAAGAAAACCAGAATAACTGACTCAACCCAGTAAAATACAAATGGCCATGGGATATAGTCAGAAGTAGAATTAATATAAAGCGTTATCTATAACAAGCTTACATCTTTCTGAAATAAGGCCACATGATTTATGTACAAAGTATTCAACAGTTATATTCCCTTAACAAATTTTGTTATTTCCTCTTCCAAACCATATTCCAGTCTCACTTACATGGATCCATCATTTTAGAAAATCTTTAAAATAATTTGGAAACTAGTAATTTCTCAAATGATATTAGGCCTTTCTAAGTTTTATAAAAACTTTTAAATACTTGGTATTTTGAGATTAAAAATTTATTTTTTAAGAATTTTAAAAATAATGTAAATTAAGAGACTATATTCTTAATTCATTTTATACTTTCATATTTTTGATACTATAAATTTTAATATTCATAGTATAATATTTAGTCAAATTTAAACTGACAAAACTCATGAAAAAATGTTTTGAGTATAATTATTATTCTCTACATGATGTTCAATGCAACTCTGCATTCCGTCGATTGAAGTTTAACTTGAACAATCCCAGAGTTTGCAACTAAAATTATTAGACCTCTAGAACGAACAGAAGAATCCTACTTAGGATGGCCTTACTCAGTTACTTTATCATTTTTCATGAGTATCAACATCTTTCTAATCCTTTTAATTCTACATAAATGACCATGAAATAAAAGGCTATGTTGAAACTTATATATATATCTTAAGCCTGTGGTTATGGTAACAGAATACATTCTGGAACTACACTGTCTGATACAGTAGCCTGTGACTATCCAAATTAATTAAAATTTTAGTTCCTTGGTCCTGCTAATATTTCAAATGCTCAGTAACTACATAATATAGCTAGTGCTACCACAGCTAACAGCTACCAAAGTAGGCAGTAGTGAGTAGTTAGTGTCTACCATGTTAATCAGGGCAGATTATAGAATATTTCCATCATCCCAGGAAGTCCTATTAACCTGCACTACTTGAAAGATTTTTCAGGTTTCTTTTACAGCCATTGAAAAGTACACATTCTAGGCAGAGGCTAGGAATGCACACAACATATGAAAAAACTAAGCCTACACAATGTGAACTTGTCAGTCCTTACTGGCAGTATTTTAAGCCATAATGATAACAGTATTTATTTAATTATTTATTCAAACTGGAATATTTGTAGAATAGATATAAATCAAGAGATAGTCTTGGGAACTAATATAATCAGATAGGTTTTTTATCTTCCATATGTACATAATTTATGTTACTCTTCCTCAGAATCTATCTAAACTTATCCACAAACCTTACCAAAAAGGACAAATTTCACGAGGAAGAAAATACTGAGGAAAAAAAATGTTTAAGTAGTTCAAGTACCATGTCTCTGTGTCCTTTCAGATTCAGAAGACAGAGAATTTTAGAAAATATGTACTCAACGAATTTTTCTATCAATTTTTTCACTTGACATCATAAGCCAAGTTGCCATATGGCAGCTAGACATATTTTAGCATGAAGGTATTAGAGTATATGCTCATTGTCGACATGGAGATGCACAATGGATATCTAATACACGAAAATGTTTTTAAGATATTAGACAATGCATAAAAATCAACTCCAGAATTAAAATAAATAAAGAAAATTAGCCAGAATCCATGTGATTATAAACATCAGGTTTTTAACTATCAAAGGCCAGTAATAAAATGTTAATGTCTCTTGAATTCCTATTTTCACAATCCTTTAATGAAAGCAAAAAAGTCCATTATTTTCACGTAACTTGTCACAAAACATATTCCTGGAGGACTGCACTTTATCCTAAACTGATAACTGGTACAAATAAATCTTTTTATACACTTTCAACTCTATATCAAAACTGCCAGTTTGAGGAAGGGTAGCAACTATTCTATAACACTGCAAAAGAAAAGGTAGGAATTTAGGACTAAAACTATCAGCTATCATTAGCATCGCTGACATGCAATCTTAATTGTTAACATTTCTCATACGAATGAGTGAAAAATAGGTGGTCTTGGTCTTTCCTTCTTCTGTATCACTTAATTGGCACCTGACACATTCTGCTTATACTGCTAGTTATCTTTCTATGTGTCTCCCCAACTAAAATGTAAAGTTTAAGAGTATGATTACATTATTCTTATGTATCTCTAGATTCTGAAAAACCAAAAAGAGTGTTTTGAATAAAGTACAAAAAATAATAGTTGGTGGATTCATTTCTGAGCACCACAAAGGGACCCCATGAACTCCTAATCATGAGCTCTCAGTTATTACTATAATCTTATTTTATTACAGATTTTTCAATCTTGTATTTTAAAAAATAAATCTAAGAATTTAGATTTATAAAGCTTTTTTCTATTGATAAAGCTTTTTCCCCCCTTCTGTGAAACGCACTAATGATTCCATTCCATTCCATTAACTATAATTAAAGATATCATATTTAGCATGATAAATGTAGAACTCTTAATATTTGTATTATAAATATTTGTCTTTTTTAGGCCAACTAACTGGGAAGAATTAGCAAAGGCCTACAAAACCTACCTATAAAGTTAACAATTTTTTAAATAAAATAAAATTCAGAAAATAATTCTGAAACAGTATATTCTTATAAGCGTTATAAAATAAATGCAAATTCTCTTTGTAAGAAAACTGATAATTCACTCCCAATCCTTGGGGACATATATTTTTCCAAGTGGCCCTTCAGATGGTCACTTACTTATTAATTAAAGTTTAAAATAAATTAGTATATTTACTAGTATTTATATGGTACTTGTAATGAAAGTGTAGCCACATCTATTCCATTTCTTTTTGACAATTTTTCCAAATTTTAAATGACATATCATCTTATATTTATTTAAAGATGAGATTGGCCAGGTGCAGTGGCTCACGCCTATAATCCCAGCACTTTGGGAGGCCGAGGCAGGTGGATCACGAGGTCAAGAGATCGAGACCGTCCTGGTCAACAAGGTGAAACCCCGTCTCTACTAAAAATACAAAAATTAGCTGGGCATGGTGGTGCGTGCCTGTAGTCCCAGCTACTCGGGAGGCTGAGGCAGGAGAATTGCTTGAACCCAGAAGGTGGAGGTTGCAGTGAGCCAAGATGGTGCCATTGCACTCCAGTCTGGGTAACAACAGCAAAACTCCATCTCAAAAAAAAAAATTAAAAAAATAAAGATGAGATTACTATTCCGTAACTCACACTGAGGAATAATACCAATATACTTTACCTGAATATTATAATTACAAAACATGATTTTAACAAATTGGTGTTTCTCCCTAATTCCCCACGGCTAAATTTTTACTTTACCCATGATAAAGTCAGCTTATTTAAGATATATGCAAGCTTTGTATGAGGAATATCCTGGACCCTCCATAAAAATTACAAGCTGATTACTAAAAGACTACTTTTCAAAAACTATAATGTGAACTCTTTAAAAATAAGTAGTACACAACATCCTCATTTGAATGGTGATGGATTTAAAACACCAGAAAAACATGGGAAAAGTGTGTATGATTCACTAGAGTTAGAACACCGCTCTATAATATTCCACCTGGTAGAGGACAAAAATAATTTGTCTACATATGTTTGCTGAGTGGTATCCAGCAGGCTCATTAGTGGCAAAGAATAAAATAATTTTTAAAGACTAAAAAGTGAAAGTTTAAAAAAAAGATTAAGATATATAAACATGGAGTAAGAAAGCAAAGTTGTATTTGGCAAGTATTATTCAAGGGGCAAAAAGAAGAGGTTAGAAACAAAATAGAACAAGTAAAATAAAATGCTAAGCTCTTTCTGCATGTTGAAACTATGCCCCAAATCCATCAGCAGAAAGAAAAGTTATTTCAGGCAGGAAAAGACAAGCTAGAAAGGAAAAAAAGAGGCAGGAAAAGGCAAGGCAGAAAGGAAAAAGAACAAGAGGGCTCACAAAGAGCAAAGGGCTTAGAAAAGGTTTCTAGAACAAGTGTTTCTTTTAAATTGATGGTCTTCTCATTTTTATATTTTAAATATCAGCTTAATTAATCCATATACTTTTTATAGAATTTTGTCTTATTGAAGAATTAATTAGGAACATGATCTATGAAAGACAAAGTTCATTTTTTTTTTCTGAGATGAAGTCTCCCGCTGTCACCCAGGCTGGAGTACAGTGGCGCGATCTTGGCACACTGCCACCTTTGCCTCCTGGGTTCAAGCGATTCTCTAGCCCCAGCCTCCTCAAGTAGCTGGAACTACAGGCACATGCCACCATGCCCAGCTACTTTTTTTTGTATTTTTAGTAGGGTCGAGGTTTCGCCATGTTGACCAGGCTGGTCTCGAACTCCTGACCTTAGGTGATCGGCCCATCAGCCTCCCAAAATGCTGGAATTACAGATGTGAACCACCATACTGGGCCTTTTAAAAAAAAAATTTTAAGGAGTTTTAATTGAGCAATGAACAATTTGTGGATTGGGCAGCCCCCAGAATCACAGCACATTTAGAGAGATTCCAGGGGTACCTCGTTAAAGACAAAGTTCTTGACTGTAATGTTAAATCTAGGAAAACAAGCAAGTCTTAAATCTCAGGGGAGTATGAAATAAAATATTTTAAAGAAACAAAGATTTTTACTTGTTTCAAGAACAAGGTTCTAACAAGAGAAGGAGGTTATCTCTTCCAACCCACCAAGCACTCAACAGCAGTTATTTCATCAAATGCTCTTCCTTTTGAATTTAAAATTAAAATGTACCCAGAAAATAATTTGTAAAATCATACTCTGGGACACAGAGGCTAATAAAATATTTCGTATAATATATGCACTGCTTAAGCAAGCATATATAAAGTATTTATATCCATTTTATAGGCAGAGCACAGTGGCTCACGCCTGTAATTCCAGCACTTTGTGAGGCCAAAGCGGGCATATCACTTGAGGTCAAGAGTTCAAGACCAGCCTGGCCAACATGATGAAACCCCATCCCTACAAAAATTAGCCGGGCGTGGTGGTATGCGCCTGTAATCCCAAGCTACTCAGGAGGCTGAGCCAATACAATCACATGAACCTAGGAGGCAGAGGTTACAGTGAGCTGAGATCAAACCACTGCACTCCTGCCTGGGCAACAGAGTATCTCAAAAAAAAAAAAAAGTATTTATGACCATTTTTGTATTCTTAAAATAAAGTTCAAGTCTTTGGATGGATTTTTATATTTCTAATTCAGGGCATGGATTCATCAGATTTCATGTAATTAAGAATAAAGTAGTTACTACAATTTTAATGAAAAATTATCCACAATGTTATGAATGGATGCTTTCTTAGGACTACTGGAAAAAGTAATAATGTTTTTGTTTACTACACTACAGAGCTTGAAAAACAAAGACATACATATAAATATGTATTGACCTCTCCAATTGACCACACTTCACAGAAGTTATATATGTTAGTTCTGTCATTTACCAGATCCTGGTGATTATAAAAGGCACAAGTTTTAATCAATATAAAATAAAATATATAATATTTTAGTGAAATAAAATAATCAAACTGGCTCATCAAGTTGAAGTCAGTTATCGGTTATTCCTCAACAAGCTCACCACTCAGTTTGTATTTTTTTATACTGTATTAAATACTGTTGAAATATTGAGGAAAATGTTGCAATATTATTATTAATTTGGAGTGGGAGAAGAAAAAAGGAAAGCTGACTAAGGCCCACTATATACATCCTATAACTGCCCTCAAGTGATTTTGCAACTTAAAATTGACTAAACCAATCTGATCACTTTGTTTAAATAGTGCAACACAAAGCATGCATAATGCAACAGGCTCACGGTCACATGCAGAAAAAGCTGAAAAGAGCTTAAATGTATAGGAAAGAAACAGAAAGGAAAAGAAAAACAAAGCTCTTCAAATGCTTTCTTGGAACTGACCGAACAGATTAGTAAGGCTGTTATATGCATGCTAAACTTGGTGGAATTGAAAATACCATACCTTAGGGGTGATCCGATGAGCAATGTAGGAGGGGTAGGGTTACTCCCTGCATTGTGCCGGCGCCGTACTGCCTGGCGCCTAAATGTGCTGCGTTCACGACGAAATGACACTGCCTCCTCGCTGGCTTGTGCTGCTGCATCAAGACAGACTTAGGTCAAACAGGAGCCTAGGTCAGAGATGTAAATAGCAGCTGAGCCTGGCTTTCCCTTGACTTCCCACCCTCATGGGTAAAGTGGACTTGTCTAATTAATCCAAACTGGTTTCATATGAATACTGTCAATCTATCATATCAGACAATACACAAAAGGTTTCTGGCATTTATTTAAAGAAAATTTCTTCTTTAAAAGTAATGTTTTTCACCTATTATCTAGCCTCTCCATTTTCTTTTCAACCTCGGTTTCCTACTTTTTAAGATCACTGTTGTTTTAAATCTTTTCCTGAAAGTCTCATTTATTTTGGTCCCATATTCCTCTCTTCCCCCGTTAATTATATCAACCTTAAAAGTACAGTATTTATTAGTTTCCTAATGGGAATAAGGAATTGCTTTCTTACATTCATGAGTAAAGTAAAAGCAGCAAAGACAGTATATTTTGCTGTTGATAACAAGGAGTAAGGCAGTAAGTTTACCTCACAGTACCCTGTGCCATAACTTTGGCAGCATTAAATGAGACCTCTGGCTGTAAAGTTGCAAAACCAGTGTGTTAATTCAACAAGCATGAACATATCTTACTGTAAGATGCTTTTTTACCATCAAACTTTATTCAACTCCACGCCCTGGCTCTGGTCCTCTCAACTTTAGGAAGCAAATATTGGCTAAACGGCAAGTATAGCAACTTACCAGCTTCATCTGGAAGCAATAAAGTACAAACTAAAGCCAAGCATACAACATGAGAATACCACAACAATGGCTTAACAGAACTACATATATCTTACAAAACCACACCAATTGACTGATTTGGGTTTCTAAAACAAAATGTAAAATGATTTTCATCCATGTGAATATAAGACAAAACAGTGTGATCTAAATAATTCGGGAATCATTTTGCTTTTGAGAAAGGGCATTTTGATGCTATATATGAATAAAAACACAAGTTAGTACAGAAACATTCTTTCTAAACATGAAATTTCCTTTAAATTCCTTTACTTGTAGGATAAAACTCCATGTATACAAAAATTATATATGGCCTATAAGAACAAATGATGCGATTAAATCTGATCATCTACAATTGCTGTACAATGTGGTAGCCATTAGCCATATGTGGCTATTTATACTTAAAATTAAATAAAAATAAAAAGTTCCTGAAGTTCATGAACCATACGTCAAGTGCTCAGCAGCTACGTGTAGCCAGTGGTTACCATTACTGGACAGTGCAGATACAGAAAACTTCCGTGATCAAAGTAGTACTGAACAGTGCTTATCTAGAAAGATAAGGTTGTCTTTTTGCTACCACAGCTACAAGGCATATTACATACTTTGCCAATTCCTGACAACCGTGACTTCAATGAAATGAAAATGCAATCAGCATTGCCACAAAGGAGAAAACATGTATTAGGGCAGGGCAATCAATGAAGGAAGGATAAAATAAAGCAGAGAAGAAAACAAGCCAATTTAGGGAAGAAATAAAAAATTAGGTGAGCAATTGGTATACCTGCTAACAGTTCTTAGACATCTATAAGGCTTAATTTAAATTCCTCAGGTTATGGAATTTAAATCACTATTTAAAAACTCAATTCAAGAATCATTTTGTGAAATATTAAGATTTCTGGCCGGGCGCGGTAGCTCACACCTGTAATTCCAACACTTCAGGAGGCAGAGGCAGGTGGATCACAAGGTCAGGAGTTCAAGACCAGCCTGGCCAACACGGTGAAACCCTGTCTCTACTAAAAAAAAATACAAAAATTAGCTGGGCATGATGGTGTGTGCCTGTAGTCCCAGCTACTCAGGAGGCTGAAGCAGGAGAATTGCTTGAACTCGGGAGGTGGAGGTTGCAGTAAGCCGAGATCGCGCCACTGCACTCCAGCCTAGCACATGGCAACCGAGTGAGACCCTGTCTCAAAAAAAAAAAAAAAAGCTCTTCTTGAATCATTTAACGTTACAGAAGAAAAACAGTAACAAAAAAAAATTTAATTTTTTAACAACAGAACCAGAGAGGAGGAAGAAAATATTTTAAAAACTGGTTTTGGAGTTGACATTTTGACACTGCTTAAAACCCAATTAACTAATTCAACAGTAACAGCATAAAATACAGATAGTGAAAAATTAGCACTCTAGTACAACCAAACATTATGAATGTATAGGTAAAACAGAAAAAAACATTTAAGCAATTCAAAAACCCGAATGACAAGACATAAAATACTTCTGAGGATATATATCCAGAGAGTTGTATATTTTTAAATGTATTTTTTCAAAATTACAAGCCTTGACTTTCTAAGCATTTATTTGTGTTAAAAAGACTGATTTCACAATCATAATAAGTTTAAGAAGAACCTTCAGGCTGGGCACAGTGGCTCACACCTGTAATCTCAGCACTTTGGGAGGCTGAGGTGGGTGGATCACTGGAGGTCAGGAGTTCAAGACCAGCCTGGCCAACATGGCGAAACCCTGTTTCTACTAAAAATACAAAAATTAGCAGGCGTGGTGGCAGGCACCTGTAATCCCAACTACTCAGGAGGCTGAGGCAGGAAAATCACTTGAACACAGGAGACGGAGGATGCGGTGAGCCGAGACTGTGCCACTGTACTCCAACCTGGGCAACAGGAACGAAACTCCATGTCAAAAATAAATAAATAAATATGAAAATAATAGGAACCTTCAGATAATTTAGCTTTTTATTTTTGTTATTCTGATGGAATCACTCAATTAGGTTTAAGCATTTACTAAATGCCCAAGTTCAATTCATGGGTATATCAAAAATAACCTCTGATATTTTAGACAGCTGTGATCTGGTCCATCCCTGAAGATAAAGAAAGTAAAATCCATAATAAACACCTCCCACCTCAGGAGTTACTTCCCATTTACCTCATTGAGATAAGAAAATTCTACATGTTCAAGCCAAATTATTTTAGTGCAACTATTAATTTTTTTATGGTGGTATTATAATTACAGACTATCAGCTGGGTTTCCTCTCTGAATGAAAGCAGAGAAAGCATTAAAGGCATTAATATACTGCTAGAATGGCTGGGATGCCCCAAAGAGGAAAATTTAATGAGGTATTAGGGAATGGCTATCCAAATTCTATCTCAAAAATTCGAAGTTGTGAGTATAAATATGCACAGATAAAGATGCTACTTAAAAATGATGTCAATAATATACCTGATTAATTTGTGAAATAATTCATATGTAATAAGTTACTTTCTAGTTGTCATGTACTGCTATGACTGGCATCTTGCAATAGCTCAATTTTAATTAAATTAATAAAAATTTAGACAGAGGAAACTGCTCAAGTGTTCTTTTCAGTGAGAAATGTTTATTGTGAGAGAAAAAAAGGTATAAATCTGGAAAGATCATGAAAATAAAAATATGCATTTAGTACTTCAAAAAGATCAGAAAACATGCTATTAGGAAATTAAATTCTTAAGAAAGATGACAAAAGTATGAAACAAGTAAGTATATATGTATGTCTCAGTAAAATAAAAGACATCTGCAAACATTCTAAAATACACTGAAATGTTCAAGATAAAAACTATTTTACCGAGATCCAAGATGGCCAAACAGGAACAGCCCTGGACTGCAGTTTCCAGTGAAAACAGAGAGGGTAAGTGACCACCGCATTTCCATATAAATTTTTACTGCCCACAGACCAGGAGATTCCTGGGTGAAAAAGTGTCACGAATCCCCAGTGCTGCTGTTTCAGCCAGCACAGTGAGTCTCCACACAAAAACTCACACAAATCCGGACGCCCTTTCAACTGGCGACTGGAATGCCTGGGAGACAGAGTTGCCCATTCAACTGAAAAAAATGGAGCTGAAATAGGGAGCCAGGTGATCTGGCTCGGCTGGTCCCACATTCACAAAGACCAGCAATCTGAAATGCTCTGGATTGAGTTTCACAGCAAGCACAGCTGGACCTGCAAAGGTCCAGCTCCACTGGGGGGAGGGTGTCCACCATTACCGAGGCAGTCCACCATTACAGAGACGGTACACCATTACTGAGGCAAACTGCCATTACCGAGGCAGTTCTAACTATACCCCATAAACAAAACTGCAAGGAAGTTCACACAACAGCTGGGCAGAGTCCACGGCAGCTCAGCAATGCCTTGGCTGGCAGACTTAGGCTACCTCCTCACTGGGCAGGGCATCACTCAAAAAAGGCAGCAGAATGACAGGAACTTATAAACAAAGCCCCATCTTCCTGGGACAGAGAACCTGGGGAAAAAAGGGGGTTATGAGTTCCACTGCAGCAGACTTAAACGTACCTGCATAGCCGCTCTGAACAGAACAATGGAGCTCACAGCTCAGCACTTGAGCTCCTATAACGAACAGACTGTCTCCTCAAGCAACTCCCCAACCCCTGCATAATCAAAGAGACACCTCATAAAGGAGAGAGCTCAGGCTGACATGTGGGAGGTATTCTTCTGGGACAAAAGTAACAGAAGAAGAAACTGGCAGCAACCCTTACTGTTCTGCAGCTGCTGCAGGTAATCCCCAGGGAAGCAGGGTCTGGAGTGGACCTCCAGTAGTTCTACAGGAGGGGTGCCTGACTGTTAGAAGCAAAACTGAAAAACAGAAAGAAATAACTTCATCAGCAACAAAAAGGACGTCCACTCAGAGACCCCATCTGAAAGTCACCAACCACAAAGACCACAGGTACATAAATCCACAAAGATGGGAAGAAACCAGCACAAAAAGGATGAAAATACCAAAACCAGAACGCCTCTCCTCCTCCAAGGGATCACAACTCACCAGCAAGGGAACAAGGCTGGATGGAGAATGAGTCTGATGAATTGACAGAAACAGGCTTCAGAAAGTGGGTAATAACAAAATTCTCTGAGCTAAAATATCATGTTCTAACTCAATGCAAAGAAACAAAGAACCTTGAAAAAAGGTTTGACAAAATGCTAACAAGAATAAACAGCTTAGAGAGGAATACAAATGAATTGATGGAGCTGAAAAACACAACACGAGAACATCGTG